TGAAATTTTCGAATTATCGTCTTGGACGCTGTTGAAACAATTAGTAGACTAGCCAGCTTCGAATACATATATTTTTTGCACGTTGAACTGGCATGCATGTTTCTAGACGAGTGCTGGAAGATGGGGTTGTACCCTAATGAAATGAAATGGCTTCGTTGTCAAATAGACTGTTTAGCTCTTAATACGCTTGAACAGGTGACTGGACATCTACTTCTTTTCCTTTCTTTAATATTATTTGTAATACAATAAATTATGCAATGTAAAAGAATCAGACCATTATCTTTATCAGAAGCGATCGCGTGATTAATGAAACGATAATTGATAAAGACTTGTGGAGATTTTAAGAATTACTTCAATTTATTACAAGATAATTTTTACATTTCGGGCCGATATGCGCTACAAACGGAAACGGGGATAACGTCCTGCAAGAGGACGAATCCGTGGGAGCGATGTGACATATCACCCGCGCGTGTATTCGCTCGAATTTCTACGGTCTTTGCAACACTTTGCTCTCGAACTATTTTGAAGACACCTATAAATACGTGTGCATGCCGCGCGCAATATACGACAAGTGCTCCCGCAGACGGCAAACATGCCGTATCTGGCCTGTCGCTTAAATAAAATCGGTCGCATCGCCGAGAAATTATTAACCGCGACCCATTACACACGCATAAGTTCAAGGCCGTTCTCGAGAGGATACATCCTCGTGCGCGAGACTTAAATCAAATGTTCAATTGCGCGAATAATGTTTACGCGCGTGAATCAATTTTTAAGTCAGTTCTATCTGACTGGACGGAAAAGAGCCAAGACATTATTTCTATTTTCGCGCGTAGGAATATTCTTTTATTCTTTCCTGCAAAGTAAACTTTATTAATGAATTTGCTTTATTAATGAATGCACGTATCTGTGCGACTGGTTAAAAGATGGTATTCATATCTAATGATCTTCCATTTATATATTTTATTTATGTTAAAAATATTTTTATCACAAATTAGGTTCTGAGAATTTTTAAGAGAACTAATAATAAGTCAAAGACATAAAAATAATAATTATTACGATGTATAATGATACATTAAGCGTCAGATGTAAAAAGATTCATTTAATCAGCTAGATAAAAAAAAATATAAATTTGTAATTAGATATAATACAAACATTGAAATATATAAAAATTATATATATAATTGTACAGGATTTTTAGCTTATTTTAAATAAATAAAGTAAAAGAAATGATCTTTTAACACGAATGATTTAGAATAGATACGATATCATTTTGTCTTGTGTAAGTTTTTCTCACATGTGTTAGCATTTTCGAGATATAACGTATTCTAATCCTGTGGAAAAAACTATGCGTTCTTAAAATTAAAAATCGCGAATTATTTTTAAGTCTTTGTTTTAAACAAAATCATTCCATTGTCCAAATTTGTACTCCAACATTCGCTGCGCGTTATACATACGGACATGTTCTAAATAAGATCTAAGGTTGCCAATGTGACACCCGACACCCTCGAACACGTGTAACACTTGGAATATGTCGGCGAGTCCTCCGTCAGAATCAGTATTACGAGGTGTTGAACACCTAAAGCGGAATAGGTCTTCACCTCACCGAGAACAGGAGGGACAGAGGAGGAGAGCGAACTATTCGAGCAAGTTAACTCGATACACAGGTGGATCATCGAAGCCGACATTCGAGGCTCTTCCAATCGAGCGATGAAGCGAGGAATACATATAATCTTTGAAGTGAAAGAAAATTTTTCATCATTTTTCATATATTTTCATTTTCAGTTTTTCTCGTTCGAGCCAGGGGACCAGGTTAAACAGGTATAATAAGAATGAAATAATGTAAAATAATATAAACTGTGTATGGTAAATATAATGCTAAGATATATTCTTTTCAATCAAGGTTTAATTAATACCTTTATAAATAAAATCAGGAAGTATTTGATATATTTTATGAATGCAGGAAAAAATGACCGCAAATTAAAAACACATATTAATTTATATTATTTTACAAAATCAATATTTTTTTTTTAATAAGAGACTATTTCGAAACTCGATCGATTAATCAATTTTGCTTTGGTTCGAGAAACACGTGCGAGATGTTCCAGACGGTGTTAAATTTAGAAATTTCGCACGACAGCATTAGTCACGGCGATCTTTGTTCCTCATTTTGCGGTTAGAAGTCTCGCATTTCACTGTTTTCTAGTCTGCTTAGTGATTTTTGATTTTCGGGACCAATGATCGAAAAGTTCGCTCTTATTTCGATCTTATCGCCGTGATATTCGCATATAAGAAGCAAAAATCTAATGCAAATACTTTATTCAATGATTTTATTATATTTTAATATCTTTGTTATTATTATAGAACATCTAAAAAAAAAAACGATCCTACGGGACGAGAGATACTTGTGAGAGCAACTATCATAATTACACTGTACAATTAACTTTATACATGTGTGACTAAAATAGGAATTTACAAAATTAATGGCAACTTTATATATTATTCTTATTTGAGGAAAGGTTTGTTAAACGCATTGGAAAAAATAAGAAAAAATTAATATTATATTTTAAGATACTTGATATTATATAACATTTATAAGAATCGTGTATTTGGCGTAATGGCTGATATTTTTTATATTTTTTATTTCACGCAAAATCGACTAGCGGGCCAACGTAGGGCTATGCATTCGATGGAAATTTATGCGTGAGACCCGCCTCCTCTTTCTCCTCGCAGAGGCCGAGAGAATTCGGTCGATGTATACGGACGCCAAGTCTCGCAAACCCCATCTGGGCCCTTTACGAGCATCCGATTGCCTCCCTTTCGTCCGCAAGTCGACAACGGTATACGAGAATCGTAGGTTGTTGGGCACACAGGAACCCGCCAATATGCTAGAGTGCGTGTATGTGTGTGATCTCGGAAACTTTTAAAATAGATCTAAAACTAATCAACCTGACGGAACAGGCCCTCGGACCGCTGCTAAAATATAAACGATCTCGCTTAACAATGGGGCTGGGTGTTTATTTCGCGTGCACTTTATAATTAGATACATAATTAATATAATAAAAATGCGAAATATCTAATATAGAGATGTAGAATAGAATAGAAATTAACGGCACAATTTTTTTATATTATAACTATTGTAGCGGAAAAAACTTTCTTAAAGAAAAAGAGAGAGAGAGAGAGAGCTAGTATGATATTTTCTACACTTGACAAAATAATCAGCAGCGGAAACAATGTTTCGTTAACGTTAACTCGGTGACGGATTGCCCATTTACCTTGCGACCCTGCGAAAGAAATAAGAGAAAAATTCACTCTATAGCTTTTTTTTTTTTTTTTTTTTTTTGACGTTCGATAAGCAATGCCGTTTTTGGAAGCGAGCCGTTTGCGTTACGAAGCGGCCATCGTACCGCGGCGTCCCGCGGATCCGGGCCCGCAAAAATGACTGCCAAAAAAGGTTCAACTTCATGAAGTCGAACCGTCACTCATCGCGGCCAATTGGCTTCCACAACGCAACAATGTAACGCGATGTGTGCATAACGATGCACGGCTCGCGCGCATACACACGCGAACGCGTGTGCGTGTGCGGCCCGCGCGGAGGTCGAACGGTGCAAGCACGTGGTGCGTGCACACGTGTGCGTATACGCATGATTCGCATGCATTTATACATATACATATATATATATATATATATACATATATATATATACACGAACGATGTTATACACCATCCTCCCCCCTTCACGCACTCGGGGCCCGCACGGGAGTAAAGGTTTTACCGATGGCGTACGCCCATACGCACGTAGCATGTAGGCAGAGGTTCCCACACCGCAGGCCATGATTTATTGGCCTGCCACTCGCCAGACCTGCTGTCATCATCGTCCCATGGTTGGTCCATGATACAGCGCGCCGTGCCGTATATAACTTCCCTCTATGCACGATCTTCGCGTCATATCGGCTCCTTCTTTCCTCGCGCCCCGTTGATACAGGAAGGCCGTTCGCCGCGTTCCGGCCCCCTCTAGTCCGTCTACCTTGTTTTACCTTAACCAGCCGATACCCACCGCCCGTATTGAAGCCGACAATCACCTTCTTTCTCATCGAAGGCTTCTCTCCCCGGTGTGGGTGGGAGGTGCGAATTTCGCAAACTCGATCTCGACATCGTTATCGCGTTCCCAAAGTTTATATCATCAACTTTGTTCTTCGCAAGGCATAGTAGCATCTATGAAGATATTGAAACATAATTTCATAAAGTAAAATAATCAGAAAGAAATAGAAGGATGGTATTTAATTAAGGCTCGAGACCATCGTAGTTAAAAAGTATATAAAGCCTTCTTCTTCTTCTTTCTCGTTTGCTTTTATACAGAGCAGTCGTTGCCAATATATATGTATATTTATTTTGAATGCATTGTTGGCTAATAGAGTACTATAGAAAATAAAATTAAAAAATATTTTAAAACCAAAATCTTATTTCTATGGATTTGATTAAATGGCACCTCCTGTAAAAAAAAAAGAAAAAACAAAAAACAGAAGATAAGATGTCTAAAGTAAACTTGTTCGATTCATGTCAACAGTTGTAGACTATCGTCTCTACCACGTAAAACAAAAATACAAACACATTATTATGAGCATTTCGGGGATTAGGGTCACCCACATATCGCGAGCATAAGCGAGGAGGTCACGGGGAGGGGGGGAGGGGGGGTAACAAGTTCGCTACACGAGATCAGACGAAAGACGAGGGGGCGCGATGCGAATAAAGAAGGAAGAGGGGAAGGAGGGTTCTTCCCAGAACACGGGGGGCGAACGCGAAGTCGTCCGATTAGGAAGCGAGAGGGGTTACTTCGTTTCGTCGGCCGCCGGCGGCGGCGGCGGCGGCGACGGCAGTTCGCTCGCTCGTTCGGTACACAGTCGAACTCCTTCGCCACTGGACGACGGACGTCGCCGTCATCGTCGTCGTCGTCGTCGTCGTTGCCGTCTAGATCGAGAGACTTGAGGGGTGGAAGGGACCATCGCTGGCGCGATCATGTCGTGCATCATGATCGGCATCCTGATGATACTCGCGTCGATCTCGCGCAGCTGCGCCGGCTGTCCTTTCTGCGCCAGGCAACAGCCTTCTTCCGAGCAGCAACAGCAGCAACAGCAACAACTGTACCGGACGATCGGCAGTCCGAGACCGTTCGGCGCCGACAAGCCGACCCGCGTCCAAGAGTTCAACAGGACCGGCGTACTACATCCAGAGTACCAGATACCGGCGACCATCAGGCCCGGCAACGTGTCTCAGTGAGTATTTAGTAGATTGTCGTAGATTCGTGCCGAGGAGACGATGGTAGTTGGACCGATGGCACAACGAAAATCGGATACCGCAATGTGTCGATTTCTCGTTCGCTTGAATTCGATTATCCGAGATTACAGTATGTCTAGTCCGGATAATTATCGCACTGCACTGTCGCGATGAAATCCGCACGAATACTCTATTGGTTTGTCCCGATGTAATTTTCTATGGAAATTTAATAGATTTTTTCGATTTCTGGAAAAGATCGAGTTTATCGAAACAAGAAGGTATAAATATAGTTTCGATACATTAATCTTCATCAATAAAATGTATTGTGTTGTTATAATGATATTGTTATATAAAACCGTATATTATGTATGGCTTAAAATATCATATGCAAGCCACACATAATTTAACATTAAATTTTCTCAACGTCTTTCAATTATATTATTTTATTTAGCTTTAGAGAATCTTTTATATTTTTATTTCATTTTTATTTCTACTATCTTTTTGTGACGGCAAAACAAACTGTTTGCAAACAATTCGCGCCATGATGTTTTAAATTAAAATGTATTGAAATTGTATAATATAATTGACGATGTATTAGGAATATAATTGACATTCCAAAATTTAAAAAATTCCGAGATATTTTTTTGCGGATTTGCAATAAAATTTTTTAATAGAAATTTCAGGCGGCAAAGTTAACCTAAGTGCAATTATAGCACAAGCGAGCTGCATGCGTACGCCTCTATACAGTCGACGCGAAATATTTAAGTAACTATTTTTAAGTGCGTAAATTGTTTGCCCGATACGCATACAACGGAGAGAACCGCGAACGTTTACAGTAACGTCACGCACCCCGTACCACGTTTCGTCAACCACGGTAGGCCGACGCTCGTTCACGTAATTCAATGCACGCATTTTGCGCACGCATGCGATTCGATACATTCGACCCATATCGCGTACAGAGAGATCGACTATAGCCAATATTTTCGTTCACTCGCGAGTGAATGAATACAAGCGAGATGTAACGAGCGCGCGTTATACGACGTCTCGCACGCGGGAAAAGCAGATGAAGACCGTTGGGCGACGACGAGCATCATAAAAGTCATTTCTATTTCCACGAGCAATCCGCTCTATATAGTTCAAAGAAATTTCTTTTTTTACTTTTACAGCTCTATTTCCTTCTAATTCGCACGAACACCGAAAGTTTCGTAATAACTGCTTTTGATAGTAGCCATGTTGAATGGGTTTGGAAGACAAGCGGAATGTTAATATTGAACGATAATAGGATGAATAATCAAGTTCGACTCATTTATGCTCGTTTTAATTTACGAACCCTCTCTTAATTGAGAGAAATCATTTATTATTTATATGTGGTCAGGCAGTCGTTTAAAGTTTCCCGATGATAAGAAAAAATGAAAACTGCCGACTGTTGCACGCGCGATGAAGTCGGACGCTAAAGTTTTGCCGCTCCGTTATTGTCCTCTTGTATATCTCTTTACACCCTCACAATATGCACCCGGCGTCTAATGGTCCGATCCGTCGCGACGCTACGCGTCATAAAGTCCTTCTATCAGATGGTTTCCACGAAACTCTGAGTAAAGTCGAGGTACAGAATTACACACGCTTCTCTCGGCGGTTACAAATTTTCGATTTTACGAAGAACATTTAGGTTTAATATTTAATATTTCACTTGCGAAAGTCTTTGGAAACTGAAGAAATACGCTGATGAAATCTAATGGGCATGATATGTTTTCGATTCGCATTATCAAAGATTCTCGATGAATGATGGTCGCGCAGACTGTGAGATGACTTTTTTTTTTTAATATTGTGCAAATTTATTCTCGAGCAATTTAATACCGCAAGTTTAAAAAGGGCGATTATTTAATACGTGCCGTTTTGTAAAATCGCGAAGAAAAGATATTTCGTAGCAATTGATTATTTTAATAATTACAATAATGCACGGGAACATTTTTTGCACAGATAGTTAATTTGTCTCAAGGGGCGGTAGATAATTTATCTCTCAGCACAAATGATAAAGGTAGAATTACATTTGCCGAATTATTAATAGAGACAGTTTCCTGGATCCTCATACCTCGGATATTTTCACGCGTGCAAATATGCTACACGAAACCCACGACACTTTCTACGTCGCTGATACCACGTGCCGCGGATTCTATTGTTAAATGACGTCTTTTACACCCTGCCAGAGGTGGTGATCTCAGAGTTCATTCTTTTTTGCAATTTTGAAGATAATTATTATATAAAGTGTATCTTGTTCCGCGAGCGTTACAGGTCAAATAACTTTGAAAGCATTATATTTGAAAGGAATGCTTTATTAAATCTTCCTCTCTCATTTCTCACAGAAAGATCTTTACTTTCAGTCCCTTATAACTCGAGAAAACCATCGATATATACTATCGATATTTTAGAATTGAATTCAATCGATTCAAAACTGATGATATTTATTTATAGCATTTATTATAGCATTTGTCGCATTCTCTCATACAAGCACATACTTTAACATCATGTTGCTCTGCGACATCGACAAGGTTCTAAATAGAGAGACGCTAAATAGAAATTTAATTCGTAATACGACCTGATTACTCTGTGAGAGAGATTTGACCAATTCCAATTCAACGTTCAATTTTATCTTAACGACGGCTTTATCGGCGTTATCGTGGTTCTTCCGATGCATCCAGTCGCACCTTCCGCAGGGTCGGCTTCCTTCGCGGATGGCGCGCTAGAATAGGGAAGA